TATATATATATAATGTATACAGTGTTGCCAAGATAGATATAAAAATACCAATACGCTTAACCATACAACTTTAGACAGTGTAATTATAATTATACAAAAAAAAAAATTGTAGTAATAATTAAATAAAATGTATAGTGTTTTGAAAAAAAGTCAGTCTTCAATATTTAGCTTTAAATCAGGTTCAAGGTTCTTTATCGTCATTCGCATCACATGTGGTACATGAGGTGGAACAAGTTGTGTACCGAGGGTCCCAGTTACACCCAAATCCCAGTTAATCCCTGTGCTCAGCTGTCAAAACACACAACAGATCCTCAAACAAAAAGCTCTGCAGAGCAGATCATCAGCTACAGAGAAGATCTGATTCTTTCTTAGTCTCAGAAACACAAAGTTGTTGCTGGCTTCTCAGATCTGTCTCTAACCCTCGTCAGTTCTGTTGCAGGGATCTCAAACACATCTCAAACGCTTTTCAATTGAGTTTTTGTTATTCTAGAGCAAAACAGCTGTTTGACACCTGCACAAGAGCTGCTCTTATGACGAAACATAAGTTTCTCAGCTTGGCCAAGCTCAGTGATCTCAGCCCACCTACCCAAGGAACAAACTATCCATTCATCCATCCATTTTCTTTACCCGCTTATTCCATTTTGGGTCACGGGGGTCGCTGGTGCCCATGTCCAGCAATCACTGTGCGAGGGGCGGGGTACACCCTGGACGGGTCGCAAGTCCATCACAGGGCCACATAGAGACAAACAAGACAAACAACCATTCACTCTCTCACTCACACCTAGGGACAATTTAGAATCAGCCTAACATGCATGTTTTTGGTCTGTGGGAGGAAACCGGAGCACCCGGAGAAAACCCACGCATGCACGGAGAGAACATGCAAACTCCACCCAGAAAGGCCCCTGGACCGGGGTTTGAACCAGGGACCTGCTCGCTGAGAGGCAGCAGCTCTACCAGTTGCGCCACCGTGCTAGGAACAAACTATTCAAAAGTTATTATTTATTTTTACAAAAATTTATACATTTTTTTACCGTTCTGCCTTTGTAAAGATCAATATATCGTATTTTCCAGCTTGTAAGTTGCACCTTTTTGCCTAATTTGCATACCCAGCGACTTATGCCAAAGCAACTTATTTATAGATTTGTCCAAATTATTAGACATTTTTGGACCGAGGTAACTTATACTCCGGTGCAACTTATAGGCCGGAAAATACGGTAATTGTTGTTTCAGTTCGTAAAAAAAAAAAAAGAGAAAAGCTTTCATGAAGTCACCCCTGCATTACAAACTGGGAGCCTACCTCGTTGATCTGGATCGTGTCACCGATGAACAAGGCGTATTTCTGCTCTTCTTTCTTGCCGTCTTTAGTGACGAGGTCAGAAAAACCCAAGCTGATGCTCAACACCATGCCTGCAGACACCAAACACACAGCAAACGTTATGGTGTGGCTCCTGAAGTCAAACGTTTCATTCTGAATGAAACAACAACAACCTTCTCCTCAGAAACAGCCGACGACAGCCTCACCTTTTTTTAGTTTGTACTGGTTTTTAGCATTCAGAACCAGGGAGCCTTCCCTGAACTCGATGCCCATCGCGAAGCTACAACGCAAATAAAGATCAGAGTTGAAATGTGTCCACATGCACGACTCAGAAGAAGGTCTCTGTGTGTGTGCACGTTTACCCGAGGTTTTTGGTCAGCTTTGCTACGAGGTCTGGCTTCTCTTTTTTCACGTACTCCAAAACCGTGTTGTAGGCGTCACAGATTTTTACTCCTGAAAGACAAAATAAAACCTCGATCCGGTTTCAGGAGAAACAAAACACACTGAACAAACCTGAACCTGGGAACAATAAAGTTTGACTCTGTTAATCCTAAGAAGGTGGGTGGACTAATCAGAGCTCCAACAGTAAGAACATGCCCTCACTCTTTGATTTCTACAGAGTACATAAAGCTCCCACAGTCCTCGCAGGCTCCTGAACTCACCGTGCTTCAGCTCCTTCTGCAGCTCCTCCTCCACCTGCAGCAGGAAGTTGTAGTTGTCCTGCATCTCCTGGGTGGGGTCCACCATGAGCGTGCGCACCAGGTTGGAGCAGTACGACTTGTAGCGGATCCCCATGGCACACGTGATGGCACCGAAGTGCATGTGGTTCTTGTCGCTGGGACAGAGAGGGAAACAGAACTTATGAACAAACACCTTCCATTTATTTACCTGCTCCTCAGTTTAGAGTAGAGTAATGGGGTGGGGGTGGGGGGAGAGATTAAACTCTGGTTTGTTTTTATCTGAGTCAGACTTTGAATCATAACTAAAGGAGAAAGGGGTGGGGGTCATGGTGCTGCTGATGCTTGCTGATCATTTTCCCATACACTAGCTCGTGTCTCCCCACTGTCCCACCTCCTCCTACAGATGTGCAGTGGAGAGCATCCTGTGCTCCAGCATCAACGAGTGGCATGGAGGCTGCACAGCTGCAGTAAGAAAAGCTTTGCAGAGAGTGGTGAAGGCTGCACAGAAGTCTGTTGGAGTCAGCCTCCCCACCATCACAGACATCTACACCTCCAGATGCAGGAAGAGGGCCACCTGCATCATGAAGGACCCCACTCACCCAGCACACACACTTTTTGCAACGCTCCCCTCAGGAAGGAGCATTAAGTGTAGAACCACTAGACTGAGGAACAGCTTCTACCCTGAGGCTGTTACACTCATGAATCTCCAATCAGGAAAATCACTGTAATGCCACTTTAGTTGGCAATATGTGACTTATCTGTGCTGCTGATTATCCATGCTGCTGATTTCTTACCCATAAGCTGCTGTATTCATAGCCATCTGCTCACAACAGACTCATGTTCAGCTGTAAGAATTATCACCAGAAAGCATTACTGTCACCCATCAAGCACATTATTTTATCAACTGAAGTTATTGAAGTTCCATGATTTGGTAGATTATAGCATTTTATCAGTTATGTATAGGGCTCAAAATAACACATTACCATTAAATATCCAAAGGAATTTTATTAAAAGACAAAGTTGCTACAATCTTAAGGGGATAGAGATATTTGTCAAACCAAAATTCAGAACTAGTCTGAAGGGAAGGTCTACCTCAATCCAAGGAGTTGGATTGTGGAATGGTCTAGAGAGTGATGTGAAAAATGCCAAGTCAATGTGCACATTTAAGAAAAAAATCAAAACTGAATTGTTAAAAAAGTATATATGAAGTAGCTTAGTGTGTGTTTTGTATTAGAATTAGAAAAATTAGAAAGTTATTCATTTTATACTGTTACTTGAAAATTATTATGTCTGAAATAATTGTTTGTAAAAAGGGGCAGATATAATAAGATTTTTTCTTCTTTCTGCTGCCTTTCATTTTAAATCTTTTGTATCTTTTTTTATATTGTTATGGAATTGTTTTGTACTTTTTTAAAATGAATAAACTATATACCATACCATACCATGTTCAGGCTGCTGTTTAATACATTGTATTATTTTACATTATCATTGTTTAGCATATACCTTAGGTCCTTATTTACTGTTTCTTTTTTTGTACTTTTGCTATTTTTGGGTGTAACTGGGACCTTGAGTACATAATTTCGTTCCACCTCATGTGACGTGAATGACAAAGAAACTTTAACCTTGTGCTCAGATAAGAAATCATGTTGGTTCAGTTTGGGGAAAAAAAATAAAAATAAATTAGCCTATTTAACAAATTTAGTTTGTTCTTATTTTTGACAAAACGGTAGAAAAAGGATTTATACAAACGACCATGTACCAGCAGTCTCTTAACCTCTCTTTAATCCAGACCCAGTGTCGGACTGTCCTGACATCTAGTGGC